CCAGAGGGCCATGTCAGAGGTAACAAAGCTATTACAATCAAAATATCATTATAAAGAAGAAGCTGAAATCATCTGTGATAAAGCACAGGTTAAACTCAGCAAAGAATCCTTTCATCCTTACAATACGTGCATTACAGACCCAAGGACTTCCCACTGGGAAGAAGCAATCCAGGAAACAAAAGGTGGTAAGGACAACAGGAGATTGGCTGAGGAATGTTATTTCTTGTGGAAATCTACTCTTCTACAGCATATAACCCTAGCTGAAGATGTCAAAGCCATCCTCACAGAACTTCAAAAGGAGGTCCCCCTACTCTTGTTAACAAATGGTGATAGACACAGCGGGAAAAGATTGAGGCTTGTGCCTGTCAGTCCTACTTTGATACTATTGTTGTAGGTGGAGAGCAGAAAGAGGAGAAACCAGCACCTTCCATATTTTATCACTGTTGTGATCTCCTTGGAGTACAGCCTGGGGACTGTGTGATGGTTGGCGACACATTAGAAACTGATATACAAGGAGGTCTCAATACAGAGCTGAGAGCTACAGTCTGGATAAACAAGAGTGGAAACATGCCTCTGACATTCCCTATTCCACATTATATAGTTTCTTCTGTGTTAGAATTACCTGTTCTCTTACAGAATATGAAATGTAAAGTCAGTTTGTCTGTTTGAAGCACATAAAAAGGCGCAATTCCAAACTTTAGAGTATTTCCAGAGTTGAAGCTAAGACGAGTTAAGCCATTCTGAAATAATTTGATTTAGGATTTAATAGCCAATTTGTGAGGGTCTTCCCAACCCCATTGCTTTTTACAACCAACCATTGACTTGTATTTATATCTGAAAATCCAGATTATGTTAATACAGTTTACTTTTAGTGCTGTAGCTCAAAAAACTGGAGGAAATACATCATGTTTTTAGTCTGTAATTTGAGATTTTAAAAAATTGTTTTTGTGGGGTTTTGTTTGTTTGTTTGTTTTGGTACCAGGGATCAAACTCAGGACTTTGTGCTTGTGAGGCAGGCGTGGGCAACACTGAGACAAATCCCTGGCCCCCAAAATTGTATTTTTAATCATTTAGTACTTTGGATCTATGGTACAAAGCAGGATAGCTTACACCTGGATATGCAAATGCAGGTTGTATGGCTTAAAAACATACTTTTTAAAAACAGATATTCTAAATAGATAATACGTTTATAGTAGAGATTTATCAGATTAATTGGATCTGGTTAATATGAAATAAATACTAAATCATGCAAATCTATACATTTCATAGTAAAATTATTTGGGATTTTTAAACAAACCGTATCTTTGCCTGCTTTGGGTGTGTACTTTCTGTTATGAATCTAATGCTTCTGCATGAGCTTTTTTGAAGGGAGTGATTTTTCTGTGCTGTTTACATGACAAATAGATTGTTAGGGTTAAAAAAATAGCTGTTAAAGTCAACATATGGTGCTTACCTTTTTAAAACGAGCTCATAGCATTCTTGTAGTTGTGCCTCTTATGGAAATATCTATTTTTTCCCAGGCACACAACAGAATTGAGAGGACAAGACTTTTGCTGGGGATAAATGCAAGCCACAAGGTACCAAAAAGTCCTTTTCCTCCTGTGGGTCCATAAGAGAACTGCGTCTGTGCAGCCTAACCATGCACCTCAGACCCATTTGTTCTCTCTTAACTAAGTAGTTTCACCCATACGATAAAACTAATAGAAAATTAAGTTTTGCTATGAACCATTTCCACCATGCCATTTTAATATTTAAGTGACTCTATTAAATCTTAAATGTTTTCTACAAAAAAAGTTATGTATAGCTTTATGGTTTATATAAAGACCAAGATCTGATTAGTCAATTGAATATTAGTTAAAACATCTCCTGAAATTGAATTATATTTTTCTTAGTATGACAAAGCTGTGCCTCTTTGCTCCTGTCTCTGTCTTGAATGCATGTCATCCTTTGGCTGTGATGAACTTCTTCTCATCTTTTAACAGCTGCAAAATTGGTCTCAATGTACAGGAGCACTTCCTCTTAGCCCTGCTTCTAGAGTGCCTCAGATATGCATCAGTTATAACACTGTGTTGGTCAGCTTTCCATTACTATAACAAAGATAACTGGGAGAATCAAATTAGAAAGATAAAAGTTTTGCTTTGGCTCACAATTTTGGAGGTTTTAGTCTGTGACCAACCAAGTTGGACCTGTAGCTTTGAGCCTATGGCAGCACACACGGTAGGAAGAGATCACGGAACAAACTGTTCACCTTGAGACCAGGACACAAACAGAGAGGAAGAGCTCAGGGTCCCACAGTCCCTGTCATGGCACACCCCTGGGATCTGAAACCTCATCACCAGAGCCCAGCTCTTCATACTTCAATTACCTCCAGAAACTCCACACTAGGGACTAATGCCTAATACATGGGCCTGGGGAGACTCCAGACCCAAGCAACAGCAGACACAGATCACCTTGGAGCTTAGTCTGTTTGCCTGTCTGTCTCTCCAAACAGGCTTTGCACTTCCCCAGAACAGAAAATCAGTTTTTATTTAAATACCTGGTGTCTAGGAGAGGTCCTGACAGGAAATAAATACTCAGAGAATTAACCAAAGACCTTCTTACTACTTAAGTTTAGTCTACCTTCAGACTACCAGCCCTTCAGCAATTACCAGTTCTTCAGTAAAGTGCTAGTATGAGTTGAACTGTTATGTCCCCCTCAAATTCATAGGCTGGGTACAAAGTCTTAGTACTTCAGAATTTTACCTTAATTGAGTCAGGGTCTTGAAAAACATAATCAGATTAAAGTGAGGGCATCTGGAGACCCCAGTCCCATATTAATGGTGCACTTAGGAAAGCAGTTTGGAAGGTAGACAGGCACACAAGGAGCATGCCCTGTACCTAGGAAGGCAACCGTTGACATGCCAAGTAGAAGTGCTCCTTCCTTCACAACCCTGAAGCCAAAACAACCCCACCAACACTTTGATCGTGGACTTCCGGACTCCAGAACTGTAAGATTAAAAAGTCCTTTGTTTAAGATACTTAGTCATTGCTATGGTAGCCTATGGTAGTCCTTGGAAACTAGTACAAACACTTTGTCTCTTTGTTAATGTCAAAAAAATGCAGTCAGTATAGGATAATGAGGCTCACTTACAAAACTGTGTTAAGAAAAAAATAATAAAGCTCATAGATCACTGTTACTTGATTCACAAGCCCATGAAAACTGCTGCCTTCTAACATCAAGTAAAGTTTAGTTTGCTGTTCTTGACAGGAAAAGATTATTTTAGTCTGAACTCTATTGTCTTTGTAGTTTAACTATGCTTAGGTATCATTTCAGCTATATATATATGAAAAGCACAAAAGCCAAAAACAAATATTTGCTGAACAAAACCATCTGAATTTCCTTCTTTGTGCAGTCTTTGTAAAACCTCATAAATATTTGCATGACTTCACCCTTTGACTACAACTGGCATTGAACGAGTCACAATTATTCAGTTCCACCTTTAGGAAATAATAGATTAATTTCTCTATTCAAGTAGTTCATATCACCCTGTCCTTAATACCTCAATTAAAAAAAAAGCTTGAAAAATGAAGCCTGTTTCCTTCTTGGCTAGGAGTAACAGGCACGCCGCTGGATAAACTGTACCTTCTGCTCTCCAGTGCAGAGAGAGAGAGTAGAAGGGAAATAAAAGTTCTCAGGGTTTCAATGAGCACAGAGAAGTGGGCTGCAGTATGGCCTCCGTCATCCAGACCGGGACAAAGCTAGAAAGCAGACGCGGCTGTTGAGAGCTGAACCACAGGGCTCCTTTTGGCCCTCTCATCCTGGGCACCTTCTAGAAGCCAGCTGTGGTGTTTTCTTTACCATCTGCCTACTTGGAAATTTTAGAGGAGATTCCAGATCTAATGAATTTCTATTTGTCATCAAGCAAAATAGAAACTAAAATGAAAACCTAAGCAGATTTATGTTTCCAATGTAGAATATAAAATAATTTCCTATTGAGTTATATAAAAGTATCTTAGGAATATCTGGCTATAAGAGTTTGGAATTTTTCCACTAGAGATGAGTAGAAACATCACTAGTTTGGTGATATTTTAAAGGTAGTAGGCAGATGGAATTGCCACCTTCGACTGATAAAATTCATCCATACCCTTTATCTTTAGAAGGGGTTTAAGTGGTTTTGTCATTAGTTATCTTATTTATTTATCTATCTTATTTATCATTAGTTTATCTTATACATACTTCTAGATTCTAACAGTTTTTCAAACATAGTGGTCCTAGAAAAATGTTCATCAGTCATGAAAATTGCCTATCATTAGGTTTGTGTGCCTGTCTTCCTAAATATGTATATCATTCTCAGTGTGTGAATTCAGTTGAATACCCTTGGCACTGATTTCTAATTTTCAGTGAAGACTCCAGTATCATGGCTGTGCCTGCTCTCGCTGAGGGTTTCCCTGCTTTTTTCCTCACTCAGCTCACCACTGAAAGACTTCAGAGTTACAATGTTGGTGCATTCAGATATGCTCTGACTTCATTTCTCCCAGATTAACGAAGAACATCCGGTTGAATCCTCAGGGAGTTTACTGCAGCAGAAAAGAAATGGTATAGGAAGTGAAGATGAAAGAGAACATGGAAACTCTAGCATTTCCTTACAAAATGTGCTAAATTCAGAGTGCTGAAGACCAGGGCTCAGGATGTTATCATTCTTGCACAGGGTGAAAAGATAATTATTTAATCTTTATTCTCTCAGTCCCAAAATAATTAAAAATACAAAATAAAAGGGGAACATAATTAGGCTAAAAGTTCTGAGTGGAGTTAATTTTGAAGTCAACAAATACACTCAATAAGCAAAGACATTGTCTTGAGTAGGGAGGCATGGATAATTAATCAATCAATCATATCTCCATGCAAATGAGCTCAATATGGCCCAATAGCCCTACTCAGAATCTTTCTCGTGAAACAGCCTACAAATAGAGAATTTGAAGAGTGTGAGTCATCAGCATTTCATTAAAATTTTATTGTGCTGCAAATGGTGTTACACATAGTGTTTCAGTTGTTCCTGGCTAGGAAACAAACTTCCACAGCTCAGTGGTGTGAAATAATCACAGCTGTCATGTTCCAGTCCTGCAGGTCAATAGTCTAGGTGACTGTGATGTGTGCTTGGAGTCTCAAAACCCAGAAGTGAGGTGTCTGCTGTCCTGGAGTCTCATGTGAAGGTGCTAGGGCAGAAGCCCCTTCCAACTCAGCTTGCTGGTCGAGTTCAGTTCTTGGCGGTTACAGGGCAGAAGTCCTCATAATCCTACAGACAGTGCTCAGGTCCTTCTGGATGGCTCCTTCCACACAGGCAACAAAAATCTGCCTCACACTGAAGTGGCCTCACCCTTTCCTCTCTGACTTTCTCTTTGCTACAACACAGAGAAAATTCTGTGCTTTAGGGCTCATATCATTATATCAGGCTCATTTGAATAATCATTCTTTTGATTAGTCAGCTGATTAATAACCCAGATTACACCTGCAAAATTGCGTGTCCATCTAGCATAACAGAATTGTGGGTGTAGTACCGCCTCATGGTCACACTCCTGAGGAAGTGGATTGCATGGGAAGCTTGGGCCTTCTCAAGATTCTGCCTACCATAAATACAAAAGAGTAGATGAATACATACAGGTACAGTTTGAAGAGCAGTCATAACTCACTCACTTGCTACTTAGGCAAAAATCTAGAATCACTCGTACAGGTGTGAACTTCCTGCGTGGCCCAATTGTGCACACAGCCCCCTCCCCTTCACATCTGGAAGCCCTAACATCCGGTAACTCAGAACATGACTGTATCTGGAGACAGGGTCTTTACAGAAGTAATCCAGTTAACAAGAGGTCCCATGGTGGGCTCTAATCCAGAATGACTGGTGTCTTTATGAAAAGAGGATATCAGGACACAACACAGCAGTCAAGAGGCAACCACATGGAGACACAGTGAGAGGTGCCCACCTGCAAGCCCAGGAGAGAGCCCTCAGGGAAAGAAACCTGCCAGCATGTTGGCCTTGGGTTTCCAGTCCTCAGAACTGTGAGAATATATATTTCTGTAGGTTAAGCTACCAAGTCTGTGGTACAGTAATATGACACCCTACAACACCAACACACCTCCCAAATTATATACCCACCCCACTCCAGGAATTAACCATTATTTGGGATTGTGTTGTCTCTTACTTTTCTTTATAGTTTTTACCACCTAGGTATGAAAACTAAAACAATTATTTATTTTACCTCCTTTTGAACATCAGGTCCATGGAATTATGCTGATTGTAGCCTTCTATAACTTGCTTCTAACACTTAACATCTTCTTGTGAAATCCTCTTTTGAAATTTTGAAAGTTTGATGTGTTAGTTGTGATTTACTCAATTTAAGTTGCAGTATTGCATCATAGTGATACTAAATAAATATTTAATCCAGTGCACTGTTGGAACACATTTTGGATTCCTTCTAGATTTTTACTATTATATTATATTTTTAATATTTTACTGTATAGATATTTACTATTCCATTCTTTATATGTGATTCATGTGTATGAGTTTCTCTAGGAATTATTTGTTGTGTTTAGAGGGTGCAATCTTCAACCTTACTAGTTAATGATACATTGTAGGAGGATGAGGGAGGAAATCTAAGACCATTCTGGGCCCCAAAAGCACACAAGATGCTGCCTCAGGAAGATGAGGTGGAAAAAGTAGAGCTAAATCCATAGTCTGATCATTCAACTTCTTTCTGGTAGAATTTCTGCATAGGTAACGTCATCAAATACTAAGTGAATAAGCATCAGATTTTGTCTTAACATATCCAAAGAAAGAATGTTAACAGATAAATTATGTTCTCATGTATCCAGGAATGCTTCTGGCTTTCTCCTGCCAGCTCTTATGTCTTTGCTTTTTTTCTGCTGTCATGGTTTTTATTTAGATGTCACCTCAAAACCTCATGTGCTCATTGGTGGGGCTTTTGAGATTGGGATTGGATCATGGGTATGTCATACTCATCAGTGGATCGGTCCCCTGACAAGTTTATAGCTCAGTGTGATTTGGAAGGTGAAGCCTAGTTGGAGGAGGTGGGTCACTAGGGGCTTGGCCTGGAAGGGTCTATCTCCCTCCTTCTTTCTTTGATCCTTTTCTGCTTCCTGCCACCAGGCCAGGAGCAACTTCTCCTCTCTAATGCCCCTGTTTTGGAGCCTGCTGGCTATGGACTGAAACTTCTACAAACTGTGAGCCAAAATAAACCTCTCCTCTTTTAAGTTGTGGGTGTCAGGTATTGTGTGCCAGCAATGAGGAACTAACTAAGACATCAGCCTACCTAAGATACCTCTTTCTCTTCATTCTTTGTGCTTCTCTAGTTTACATGGCAAATCATCCACAAAAACTAACTTGTTTTTCTTGGGGTCCAGCTTCCAATCCCCTGAAAAGCAGATCTTACTGGCGATACTGATTCTGGTGTGCACACAAGTCCAAACAACTGTGACTAAGGCACAATGCTCACATAGCACAAAGGAGGACATGCAGGTCCCACCACTGTAACACAAAGAAACAGTCTCAGTTTTTAGCAATAGGACAGGAGTCTCCAAAGTGTTCTGTCCCTGAATGTTTGCATCTACAAGTGTGAGAGACAAAAACAGGGATAGACAGAAAAAAATACATTTCCTCAGAAGAAATCACAGGTCTTTAGAGAAGCAATAGCATATATTGAAAGAATGTGAGGCAAAATTGCGGACCCAAGCTCTGACCAAGTATTCTGAGCAAGCTTCTGAGCAAGTATTTGAACTTCTTTTCAGCCAGTTGTAAATATGGAAGCAAGGCAAAACAAAACATTCTATCCCCTACAGAATTGACCATGTACAGATTTTTATGCTTACTTTAAAAGCAACTTTAAATTTATTTTAGTGTTGTTCATATTATTAAAATTACAAAAGTGGTTCTTAATTAGTACTTAATAAATCAAGTGTTATGGTCCCTATTCTGATAATCTCATCCATTGTTATATATGGATCAATCATTAAATTTTCTGAAGTAGACAGAAAGTATTATTTCTGTAGATGCCCCTGCCTTGTAGCCTGCTGACTATGGACTGAAACCTCTACAAACTGTGAGCCAAAATAATATAACAAACTGTGAGCCAAAATAAAAGTGGAACATAATTAGGCTGAAAGTTCTTCTGAGTGGAGTTAACTTTGAAGTCAATGAATATATTCAATAAGCAAAGGCATTTTCATGAGTAGGGAGACATGTATAATTAATTAATTAATCATAGCTCCATGCAAATGAGCTAAATATGGCCCAATATCCCTACTCAGAATATAAGCATGTGATTAAGCTATATACTAGCAATTACCTCTGTGATTGGGCTCTATGAAAGAAGCTTCCCAGGACCACAAATATAAGACTAAGAGTATAAATCTCCAAATATTAAGAGATAGAAATCTAGCTGACCTGGTTTGAGCCATGTACCCCCTCACTTTGAGCCCCCTGTGGACAGAAGAGTAGAGGAAATGAATATGGTCCTTTGGCTCCTAGAGATTTTGGGCAGGGGAACAAGATAACCTAAACACAACTCAATCACAAATCACCTAAAAATGCTGGATATGAAAAAAAATCCTTTCAAACGAGTAGCCTAATTTTCTAGAAAATAGAGAAAACTCGTCCCCAAACACACACACACACAAACACACACACACAAACCACCAACACCAACAAAAAAAATCCAAAAATGTATCAGAAAGTAAGACAGAACATTTCCTAACTAAATGCCATGGGTTTCAGGGTTAAGGTTGAAGGTCAATGTATCCTACTTAGTGACATTTTAATCTCATGCTACAACAGCAACATGGTCATGAATCCTTGTAAGACAGTTGCAACAAAGATCCTTGTATGATATTAGAACCTCCAATAGAAACACATCCCTAGGGAATCCAAATGTATGGCATGAGGTATGTCTATTTCAACATGGACAACAGATAGGGAAAGTCCAATTTTGTACAATGGTCAGCCCTGAGACAGCTTTAGGATTCCATTGTAACACCTGAACAGTCGTGAAACTCCTTCAAGCATAGAGGAGCCCAAATAAGCAGCTCACAGAAGTAAAATTAAAACTGCTATAAAGCCATTCTGTCAACATAGATCTCCCAGGAATCTCAAAAACAAAGCCATGCTGGCTGGGGGCATCACAATCCCCAACTTGAAACTATACTACAAAGCTACTGTGATAAAAACAGCATGGTACTGGCAAAGAAACAGACCCGAAGATCAGTGGAATAGATTAGAAGATGCAGAAACAACTTCTGACATACTCAGTCACCTCATCTTTGACAAAGGAGCCAACCACCCTCATTGGAGGAAAGATAGCCTATTTAATAAATGGTGTTGGAAAAACTGGATTTCAATCTGTCAGAAATTAAAACTAGACCCATACCTATCACCGTGCACTAAACTAAGATCGAAGTGGATTAAAGATCTAAATATTAAGTCAGAAACACTAAACTTTCTGAAAGATAAGTTAGGTAGAACTCTTGATGACATTGGCATAGGAAAAGACTTTATGAACAAATCTTCAGTAGCACAGGAGCTAGCACAAAGAATCAACAACTGGGATTTCATCATATTAAAAAGCTTCTGCACTGCAAGAGAAACTACCAACAGAGCTAAGAGACAACCTACAATGTGGGAAGAAATATTTAGCAGCTGTAGCTCAGACAAAGGTCTACTATCAAGAATATATGAAGAACTGAAAAAAATCAGACCTCCCAAATTCAAGGACCCAATGCAAAAATGGGCATCCAAAATGAACAGACATTTCTCAGACAAAGAAGTAAAAACAGCAAGTAAATATATGAAAAAATGTTCAACATCACTGGTCATTCAAGAGATGCAGATGAAAACAACACTGAGATTCCACCTCACCCCACAAAGAATGGCTGCTATCAAGAAATCAACCAATTCCAAATTCTGGCGGGGGTGTGGAGAGAAAGGAACCCTTCTCCATTGTTGGTGGGAATGTAGATTGGTGCAACCACTGTGGAAATCAGTATGGCGATACCTCAAAGAACTAGGACTACAGGTCCCATTTGACCCAGCTATTCCCCTGCTGGGAATCTTCCCCAAAGAATTAAAAGAATCATACCATAGTGATATATGTGCACCTATGTTTATAGAGGCACAATTTGTAATAGCTAAAGCTTGGAAACAGCCCAAGTGCCCATCGACTGGAAACTGGATAAAGAAGATGTGGTTTTTTTTTAATAAAATGGAGTACTACTCAGCCATAAAGAATGAGAAACTACAGACATTTATAGCTAAATGGATGCATATTGAGGCCATACTCTTAAGTGAAATAAATAGGACACACATGTGTAAATACCAAATAGTTTCTCTAGTGTG